TAACTAGGGAGACAACGAACAATCAAAGCGCTCAGCATGTACATTACTACAATACCTCGCACCAGACTGATGTCAGTGCGAGGTTTAAATACGGTATTCCCCTCAGTTTCCGGCAATCATTGCCAGTCACGTGAGGTGGGCGTGACAAGATGTGTTAGGGAGGTAACAGGTAACATTTTAATTATATTTTGCTAAAATGAACGAAATGACTCGAAAAAAGATTCGTTCATTTTGCTGAACGAGACTAAAAGGTCCGAGTCGGTAAAATGATCCGAACTTCCCATCACTACTTCTGATTGGTTATCCTGTCTCGTCTACATTTGCAGCCAATTCTGCTAATTAACTTGCCGGTGAGGTCTGAGTTTCTATTGCAGGCAATGGCAGATAAGCAAAGGAATGCATTCCATTGCTGAAATATAAAAAACATTTCCGATACATTACGGAAAAAGGCACAAATTTAACTGTGCAATGCAGTGCGTGTTTACCGGCTGTAAAGATGTTGTCGACATCTAATGTACCATCAGTGTTTCAGTCAACATTGTCTTCAATTTTTCTTGCAATTTTATGCAAAACAGAAGACGTGAAGACATACGGATTTGAGAAAATCGTGCGACCTCTTTTGCAAGATCTCCAAACTTTGGAACAGCAAGGTTTGTATGTCCAACAACTTGGAACATTCCTTAAAGCTGATAATCTTGCCGCACATTCCATGGCTGGATTCGTTGAGAACTTTTCAGGCGAGTATTGTTGTCGATTTTGTACAGCTTCTCGTGCAAATTCTCAGACCACTGAAGTGAAGGGAGGTGAATTCAAACTTCGGACTGCAGAAGAGCACCAAGGACACGTGAAACTTGCTACAGAGAAAGATGTAAATGTCATGGGTGTAAAAAAACCATGTGTTTTCAGTGAAAACTTTAGCTACTTTAATGTTACAACAGGCTATCCTCCTGATTTGGCTCATGATCTTTTTGAAGGCAGTTGAGCTAGCAGAGTGCTTTACTGAGTGAGAGGTATGTCTTTAATGTCATGTCAGCTTGCTTGGATGTTGTTATAATTCTAAACTATGATTTGAAGTAGGGATGTCCCAAACAGGTTTTTTTAACCTTGAGTCCGAGTCATTTGATTTTGAGTATCTACCGATACCGAGTCCCGATCCGATACTTCTATAATACATAAAAAAAGAATAAAGAAGAGCGAAGAAACAGATCCAGGATGTTCCTTATTTTTTATTTCATTCATCTTATTTTAACATTCAACAACTCTGTTAACAAACAGAGCACTTCTGTGAGGTAGCTTGAACAATCAAGTAATAAATAACATAAATATCTCCAGACCACAGGCATATTCGCGCTTTCCGCTTCAAGCTGCTTCCGTGTTGTACTAATGCTGCATTCCATTTGCCTCGGGATCTGATTTTCGGATTCCGATATTACGTCACATCCGCTAAAAACTCGGGAAAACCGAGTCGGATACGTTCCATTAGCCACAGAAGTAGCAATACCATGAACCCATATGAAAAAGCAAGATTTTTTGCTTAGCCGGACAACTTGTCGGATTTAAGGTACCTCAGTTTAAATGGCCTTTATCTTCGTTCACTTACAATTAGCCCGAACTACTTTAAATCCGACAAATAATCCAACTAATCATGAAATCCAATTCTAGACCGGTTAATTGGTAGCCATTGTTAGCAATATCACTTGATAACACATTACACGCGGTGCTTCACGTATAAAACTCCGTAGCAACACGTCCACAGATACAGTAAGTTGGACGGTATAGTTTGTGCGACCGATTTAATGAGCCACAAATGAGAAGTAATGCTTAAACAGGATAAAACTACAACTTTCCCTTCTGTTGATAAAGGACACAGCCATCTTGGATTCTGAACTCGGATCCTCTGTGCCTTCCGAGATATATGGCGTTAAATTAGTGCCAAAACTCGCGCGCATAAAAACCACGCG